TGAATACTTCAAAACCAAATCTCTCAAAACTATTCCATTAATATCTGATTCTATTCTCTCTATGAACCATATCCTGAACTTGAAATCAATTACCAAAATCTTGCTTATGAAATTACTGAACAAGAATGGCAAAACATTATCTTCAACTTACTTAATTAAAAAGCAGCAGGCGCCCTTAGAAACCTGTTATGAACATATAAAATATATTAGCTCCAAAGCACAAAACATTTTTTGACTTTTTCTAAATAAATGCTTTTATCTTCAAAAAATTCCCTCAGACTAAAAATTTTCTAATATCTTTCTAATCTCCAAAAAATCAAATTGGAACTATACATTAAATCAAGTTCATCCAATTTCTATAATAGAACCTTTTAAAAAAACTTTTACCAAAATATTCACAAACCGATTAGACAACATTATTTTTTATAACAATCTTTTATCAAATCTAAACTTCGCAGCTTTAAAAAACTCCTCTATATATCTTCCTATACAAATTTTACATAACACAATTGAACATTATAAAACCATTAACAAAGAAGTCTAGATTTTCTTTCAAGATATGTTCAAGGCTTTTGATAAAATTAATATAACAAGACTTCAAGATACTTATAAAAGAATAGGAATTCCATTGACAGGAATCAACCTAATCACAGAACTACACTCTCATCGATTCACTAGAGTAATTATTGCTCATGACCTTACATTACAAATACCAATTAATTCTGGAATTGAACAAGGTGAAATATATTCACCTCTTCTATGAAAAATCTACTATGACCCTACACTTTACTTTATTCAAAAAAAATATAAAAACTACTTATTGAAAATTTCATATTAATCCCTTATTGATATCATAACAAATACATCCTCTCTAATAACAATTCCACCATTAGCTTTTATAAATGATACAACTTGGCACTATAAAAATGCAAATATAATGCAAAACATTATAAATGATATCTCTGAATTATATAAATTCAACAATATAGAAATTAATACCACCAAATCAGACCTTCTGTACATTAAACCCAAATTCATATTAAACCCAACTCCTATTCTTTTAATGAATCAACAAAACATTACATCTAGAAAACCACAAGATGTAATTTGATATCTTAGCATTTTCTATGATGGCCAAGAATCTTCTAAACTAACTCTTAACCAAATTTAAAACAAAATCGAAAGCTTTTTCAATCTTATTCGATACAAAAAATAACACTTTCACAAATCTCATCACTTTTCAATTTAATTCTACAACCTTCATTAGAATACTTACTACAAATTATTCTAGTTCATACAAATATACAAACTAAATTTTCTCACCTTTTTATTATCCATACTAAAAAAATGCTCTTCTTAGCAAAAAACACTAACAATATAATTCTTACTAACCCACTCACCTTTAATTTACCAACCTTTAACAACATCATTCAAAAAGATCAGTACAGCTAATACTGAACGAGTATTTAACACACTACCAATTCTTAAAAATATAGGCATCCAACGAATTAAAGGATAGCTTACCAAAATATGATTACCTCAACTTTCACCAAAAATTTTAACTAACTATTATCGAAAAATGCAAAATTACACTTTACTTTTCCACCTCTCCCAACTAGTCTTTAATGAAATCTTACTCTCAATAATCTCACAAATCATACCCTTTCCGTTATTAATACCAAAAAATACTCATACTATTTTTGACATCCTTTCTGTCAATCCACCTATGTCTACTATCAATAGTCTTTGAAATAATAAAATTATCTTTTAGAACAAGTCACAACTGCAAATAACAAAAATATTCTCATATAGAACAATATTTACTTATATACAAATAAACCTAATAAAGGTTGCCAATCAAAATGATTTACTCAAATTTTACATTTAAACCAATCTAATACTATAACCCAAACTTGGCCTTACATAAACCTTCCTCTTACCAATACCTTCCTGAATACAATTAACTAATATCACCACCTTCTTTCTCAAACTTTTACTACTTTCATCATATATATTATACAAATAACCAATCACTATATATTTACCAACAAATCTCTCTATAACAACTATTATTCTTCGAAATTTCTATGCTCACTTCAGGATTCTCTCAACTATTACCAACTACTAACCACCCAACACCAAATTTTTATTCATTCTTTTTACCTTATAACTCAACCATCAAATCAAAAAATTTAATAATCATCCAAATTGATTTTAAAGAAATCTTAGTTCTAACTCAAATACATAGCACTACTACTATCCAATCAACCTCAGCAATACAATCACAAATAATTCTTTTATTATATGAAGCTCAACTTATCTAACAACTTATCAACACACCATCATATCAAAAACAACTAATCGATTTAAATCACCTTATCTTCCAACTTAATACAGATAAACTATACTTCTATACTAATGGATCAATCAAAAATTTACAAACTCCAGAAACCAAATGTGGTATAGGATGGATTTGTAAATATGATACATCTATAAAATTTAATGCAGCCTTACAATCTTACTCTGACTCAACCTGCATCGAACTTGAGGCAATCCTCATTCTCTTATTCACAGTTTCTTCTAACATTCTTTTAAATATCTATATCGACAATACAACTGCAATCAAAAACCTCAACTAAGCTACTAACTCCAAACCTATACAAACTAAAAACTGGAACATTATTCACTATATTAACTATCTTAAATAACTTAAAAACATTACTACTACTCTTCATAAAATAAAATTATACTATACAGACTCTTTTTATAACCAAACAAATTCACTTGCCAAACAAGAAACTACAAAACATATTCTCAAAATTAACAACTTAAAATTTAATACTCCAAACCATTTCATATGGAATAAGTATCTAATCTCTATTAAAGTTTACACCTTTATCAAAAACTCTATAACTATTCAAGAAATTGTCAAATGGTCAAACTTAAAATTCCTCCAAAATATCATAAACATTAAATGGTCATTAAAATTTAAAATCATCTCCTTTCTTGAAAATAATCTACAAAAATATTCCTTTCATATCAAAATTCTTACTAATAATCTATCTACTATGCAAAATCTTAATATTTATTATCTATATATCTATACTACTCCAAACTGCTCTCACTATACAAATACTGAAGATACTCTTCATTTATTTTTATGCCCTAGTAATACTACAAACATTCTACAATTGATCAAAAATACAATACAAGATACTTAATATTACTAAAAATTATCAATATAACCTTAACAATCTTATTAAATATTCTTCTAAATTTTACACTTAATATCCCAAATCCTCAATTCAAACATATCTTACATATTATTACAAGGACCTTCTCATTTACTATTTATGAAAATATTAAAACACTTAAAAACAAACAAACTGTGCCCTTCTATTTTAGCTTTCAAATGATCTATTAAACTGGTTTCATCAAGATCTCTGATCTATTCATAACACATACCAACATCAATGAAAAATATTACGAAATATTACATCCAAATCTAAACACATTAAAATTTACTTATCAACATTACCAAATCCTTCAAACAATACAACAATCTCTTCTCAAATTATAAATTTTAATTCCTTTATCATCAAATGGCTCATACAAGGTTTTTCACTAACTTCTTGTATTTAATAATGTTCAGACAATCACTTAAAGGTCTTCTCCAACCTATCCTAGCTAGAACCTAATTTGAAATAGTTAGCTATAGCATTCACAGGAAATAGAGGATGTAATGTCACATTGGGTGCCAATTTGTAGCACAAATGTAGTTTAGAAATCTTTAATTTTAGAACTTATGATTCTATATGTAAAAAGTTTCTACTTGAACATTATATAAATAAAAAAAAAAATTAATCTGATTAATTACTTGAGATTTAAAAGCTTTTACAATGGTTAAATTTGTCTTTTGTAAATATACTTTAGCAAAATGAAATCCAGTACTTCAGGTAAACTCAGTATAATGTCTAATTCTGATCACTTTTTTTTTAAAAAAAAATATTTTTATTAATGCACCAATATAGGGTTAGACTGCCATTTTTTATCCTTCTGCATTTTTTCTATTTTTTGACTTCTTTGAGCTAATCCACATAAACAAAATTTCATAATTCCGATTGGTTGATTTAGTCACGGGATTGTTACTAGAACAACTCCGGGACGTAAAGAAATTCAAAGCAAATGTTCACTTTACAAAAATCACATCTTGAAATTAATTAGTAACAATCTTTGCAGTCCTAACAAAAAATTTCTTGCACAATTTTACTATACAATTAGCCCTTTTAAACTTATCCTAAAATCTAAAACATAAACGAAATTTGTAGCTAAATATTTGTTTTCTGAGTATCACGTGATAGTAGGTTCCTGCCAAAATTACTATAGTACATCCAATCAAATTTCGCTAAAACAAATCGCTATGTGTAAACACGTTTAGTGTTGGTATTCGTAACATTTTTGTACAATCTACCCTCGTTTATATCAACCATTTGGATTGGTTTTAAATTATGTTGATAGTGATATTAATATATTAAAGTTGATATATATGATATATGAAATTTTATAAAAATTTGATTTGTGGCTTAGGCCGATATTAACGAGGTTGATATTAACGGGGGTCGACTGTATCAAAATTTCATAAGGAACAACTTTAAATTAGTGCAGAATCCGGTTTACACCTGATCTCGAAATTTGATTTGGATATGAATGTACGGATTTTATCATTACACTATTTAATGTCAAATTTTTTTTTGTAATATTCTCCACATATTCCTCCGTTTGATCTAATGATGATGAACGGCTTAAACCGATTTAAGCAAGCAATTTAGACAAGCATTATATAAAAAAAGAAATATGGGGTTTTTTGCCTGTTATGAGACATATAATTTACTATATTTCATAACTTAATTTTCAAGGCAATAATAAAATCCAAAATTATATGCAACACTAAAGTTAATTAGATATTTTTATTATAATATTTGAAAATTTTGTTCATAATATTAAATAATATCCATATTTCCTGCGGCACCACAACATCGTCCTATACCGCATTTTCCACCACCACCACCACCACCCCAACCAATTTTCACACCAATCCATGATTCGATCTTCCATTTAATATAATAACCAATAATATTTGCAATCCCCACAAAAAAAGGCACGATAAAATATAAAGCAATAAGAAATAATACCGTATAATATAACATTTTAAAGAAATCTCTTATATTTTCATAAGTAAAATAAGAAAGAATATTAGAAGGAGAAAGGTCAAAATGATACCATGGAACCGGGTGATTTTTTGTTTGAGCCCAATTTAGAAGTTCTATAGGAAGTGAAGTGGTGAAACTTGGATCAGTGGAATGCAATAATATATGATGTTTTGTTGAAGCAGGTATTTCCCGATCGAATTTTGAAAACATATATTTATCTCGTGAAGGTTTTAATAAAACCGTAGAAGTTTTTAAAGAGGTATGGTACTCCATTGATGGATCATCTCTTAATTTTAATATAGTTGTCGGTTCACTCACACCACCATTCCGTACTGAAGGCATAGATGAAGAATTGATTCTAAAATAATCATCATCATCAGTTTCTGAATCACAACTTTTAGGACTTTCCGGAATTTCGAAATCATCATCATCATCATCATATATAGAGTGTTTCTCAATAAATCTACTACAATCCATAACTTCAACTCGTTTTAGTCTCGAAAATTTTGTGTAAAACAATGGTAAACACATATCGAAGGTAATATTCATACATTCTATAATACTTAAATATTCTAATTGTTTACAACTTGCCATCACTTCAAAAGTACAACCTTCAAAATCTACAGCGTAAAATTCGAGTCGTTTTAGGGAGTTAATTTGGGTGTTTAAGGATTCCAAAAAATAATTTGTGAAATATTGATAATTTTGGAGAGTGAATGAGGAGAGACGTGTTTGAGAACAAATAAATATTGCTAGATCGGTGGCTTGTTGTTTGTTTAAAAATAGAGAAGCAGTTACTGGGTTATGTGCAAAATTTGTTGATAAGGAATCCTATAAAAAAAAAAAAAATACAAGATAATGAATTAATGTATTAATTAAAATAGTAAATAAACACCAAACATTTTCTAATCTAGATCACTAATCAAACAATATTTTATATTACAGACAATTAAAATTCGTAAAAAAGCCACTCACCAAATTCTTGCAAACATTCCCGAGAGCATATAAAAATCCATCCAACATCAATGCATCCCATTCCAAATTCATGTATCGAACACTTTCGAATAATGGTCGTATACCCGTATCCATCAATACCGCACCAAAATTTATTGATCTTAAATTCTCAAAGTAATTATCGTTAAGTAATAAAGTAGGTACGTTGTTCATAGAGAAATATGTTATTTGAGCTCGTTTGTCAGCAAATAATTTCAAAAGGAATTTCAATACTAATTCATATTTGTTGATTAAAGTAGTAGGATTTGTAGAAGTCGATACAATGGAATTTGTAGGATTTATGGAAGCCGAGGCTATGAAATTAGTTGAAGAAGGAAGTTTATTACCCTCAGTTAGAGAAACTGAATCGAAGAGTGTAAGACCAGGAAAATTTTCAAGTTCGGGAAATGTAGACTTCTTTTGTTGAGAAATTTCGACATTTATATCTGATAAATTTGGTTTGACAGGGCCTCGATATTTGTGACACCAAGCAAATATCATTTTCAATAATTTATCAAAATTCAATTCTGTTAGATAGATTGGATAATCAAACATTGGCTTTTTTAAGATTGTAGTAGTATCATCATTTTCATCAAAATTTTCAACAAAATCATCATCAAGATTAATCTTATTATGATCAAAGTCGAATCTTTCAAATTTTCTTATTCTATCAAATATTGCCAATCTCTTTAACCTATCTAATCTTCTTTGGGCATCAGTATTTTTTTCTAATCTGAATTTTTCCAATTCCAATTCATCTTGTTTATATCTTTCTAACTTTTCTTTTTCAAGTCTCAACATTTCCAAATTTTCCGATCTTCCCCACTCAATAGGAATATTATCAGAACCCAAAATAATTCCGGCCTTATCCAATCTAATACCAGCTCGTTCGATCTCCCTCAAATTTTCATCCTCCAAACACAACATATACGTAGAAATTACTTCTACTTTTATGTTCTGAATAGGGTAAAAGGTATCTGACCATAAAATAGGTACAGCACATCTACACCAATGCTTGCAGACCAAAAGACAATTGTAGAGGGCACCTATTGAAGAAGCGTCACGATAATATCCACTAAAACCGTAAATGTTTCGAAATATTTGTTCTAGGATTTTTGGAGGGAGGCGGTCATTATTTCCATTAGCAGTGATTGCATTATTTGCATTATTTGCATTATTTGCATTATTTGCACTAATTGCATTATTTGCATTATTTGAAGTATGTGAAGACATCTTAATTTTTAAGACCTATTTATGAAAAAAAACTTTTAATTATATTTGTTTTCGGGGGGGGTTTTTTTAGAAAAATAGATTGAAAATTTTAAGAATTCAAAGATAAAAAAACAACAAATATTTACCTATGATGTAATTCCTACCACGAGTAGTTTAAAGTTATGTGAAACGAATATCCAAACCTTAAGAGGTATGATTCTTAGATTCTTAGAAAACAATTATGTAAAGTATATTGTTTGATATTCATAAATATTATTTTTTTTGTCGTCGTTTTAATTTAAATAATATTCTTTTTATCGTCAGAAAAGAATGTTGAATGATGATTCTTTTCGAAACAAATTTTTCGAACGAGATAAGATTTTCAGGGCCAAAAGTTTATAGAATGTGCAGAATTGGATTACACAATTGAGAAAGCTTATAGCAGGAAAGGAGAAAGCCAAACGGTAAATTTGTATCCTTTTAGGTAGTAACTTATATATGAATATAATGGCGATCTTTTTTCGATGTCATACAATTGGTGACAAGCCACACACACAGATACTGTACAACCGGATGAAATGTAATCAATAATTTTCTTTTGTTATTAGATGAATAGTTTGTCGTCTAAATTAGAAAGAAAAAGGGATCAGATGAACCCAAACTTTCTTTTGATTGACGAATAATTATAATGGAAATGGTATCTTGTGTAAAAAATTAACAATACACGCAATTAACACAAGAAATTAAAGTTAATGCGATTAAGTTTAAAAAAACGTGAATTCCATAACGAATTTTAAATAGAAAAGGAGAAAGGGTTTAGATACCTCCAGAATTTCAAAAATGCTTCGTTTTGATGAAAGGTGTTAAATGGGCGTTTATTTGTGATACAGAAGTTCAAACCTTGAATAAATAATCTGCATATTTGTTTATAGGGTGATACATCACACATAAAGATAATACAGGAACCATTATTAAGATCATTATCGGTATTTAACATAAATGTTAAGAGTCACATGTTTAGTACAACGAGGAGACAGCATTATTATAAAGTGAATGGTTCATCGAAGATTTAACTTTATTTCCCAGGATTTCCAAATAAAATAGGCATATGAGGTATTTTTAGCATAACTTAAACAGGGACCCACAACTTCTTGCCGTTAAAGACTAGTAAAAAGGAGAATGCATGATAATACACTTTTATCATTATCATCTTATTAAAGATTCATTACATTCATTACGTACGTATGTTGGTTTTCATACCACAGACGTACTTATGTACGTAAGTACTGTACGTACATACTGTACGTACATATGTACATACCTTTTTTTGTTTGTCTAAGGTTAACTAACTTGGACACAAATACATACATACTGTAAATACATCCGGTAAATACATCGCCATGCAATTGAGAATTCCCGGTTTCCATCCTTTATACTTTTTTCTAACACTTACATAATGAACGTCATATGTTATTTGATTTTACAAAAGGTAAATGTTTAATTTAATTTTATCGTTGTCATTATGTAAAATTGCATTTGAAAGTTAACAAATGCTAAAAAAACGATGACCTCAACTAAATAATAGAATTATAATTCATATGAATTTTTATTTAGAATAATTCAAATATAATAATGTAAATAATTTATGTGAAGAACGTTTAAAGATTTGAAACAAATGAGTCTGAAGAAGGAATAGTCAATTAATCTTCCTTCTAATGAGTCAGGCCAATCTCATGACTGTAAAAATGCTCATCATTGTGTCGATATGGTGTTTATAACCTTTTTGGGTGTAATGATGTGTATAATGATGTGTAAACGGGTCAAAGCTTCGCTTCATAAACGAAATATTAGTACATAAAGTACCTTACTTATAAATTTTTGGGCATTGCTAATCAACACACAGACCATTTAGAAACAAGTTCTTAAAGACCAACCGAATATCATTTTACTTTTAAATTGGGAGTGTATCCAAGGTATTGATCCAAAATGTAACATCGTACTGCAGCATGTAACATTGCATCATAAACTAAACCTTCTATGTTTGTTAAAAACCCATTTAATTTACAAATGTTACTTATATTGTTTCAATTCTTTCGTATTTCGGATTGTTGTCCTGGTTATTTGCTCTTTATACTTTCATTTAAAGTTCTATTTATAATCATTCGTGTGCAAAATGCATGTGTACGTATAATCTCATTATTTTTATTGGTCAAATACCCGTCTGTGTTCGTATGTACGTACTTACATTAAACCTAAAAATATCTCGATAAAAGAATCTAACTAATTTATGAACTCTGACATATTTTTGGCATATTTTGTGTTAATATTAAAGAAAATTCAAGAATTCTTTCTAGTTCTTTATGGTGTAGGTTACATCAAATTGTGTTTGCGACCTCGTTGGATGCAAGTTTTGATTGGTTGATTGTCATATGATTAGACTAATGAAATTTACATTTGGCCAATGTGCGGGATTCTCGATTTTGATTGATCAATGGCTGTGATCAACAAAATTTTGGGCGCATTATACATAACTTTGGCCGGAATTAGTAATAATATCCGCCACCCAAAAAGTTCAAAAAGTTCTGACCATCACGTGACAAATAGTGCAATAAACGTAATATGGGCTGCCGTCAATAGAAATCAGGCAGATTGACATTTTTTTAAAAAAATCAATACATTCACAGCTCATATTTTGATGAATTTAGAAGCTAGTTTAATTATTTAATATTCAAAAGAAAGCTTGAGATCTAAGCTCTCTTTTGGCTATTGAATAACTAAATTAGCTTCAAAATTCATCGAGATATGATCTGTGAAAGGTAAGGTATTGATTTTTTAAAAAAATTTCAATCTGCCTGATTTCTATTGATTACAGCCAGAAAATATAATAATTATGGGTTTTTTGCAATTTAAAATGAAGTTTTTATTAATCATTTGTTACTAGTTGGATTCAATATAATAATTTTTTGTTGCGTCCTGCATTTATAATCATCCGAAAGAGCATTAAAAATAAAATTTACAAGGTTTTTTGGTGCAATTACATTTTCTTGATTAGTTTTCATGATTAGTTATTTCGATTTTTATTCTTTTTTCGTTGATTATTAGTGGAAATTTGGTTACGTCAATCAATTTATATTTTTAAAATAGTATTTTATTGCTTTTTAACGATCGATTTTATTTCTTACTAAACCAATTATACTGATATGATAACATTTTTTAATAAATATCGATATTATTATCATGATCCTAATCATGATGAATTGACATGATTTTCGAAACTTTTTGTTACTCCGGTCGCTTATTCACATACTAGAATTTTCTAGTCGCTGATACTTCAAGAAGTTTTGAAGCTGGTAATGATCCGAAAAGACCCGATGTAGATAATGAATCCCGATGTAGATAATGAATGAACCTTAATTGAATTTTTTATATATGATACATATGGGTAAGCCCCCTTCTCCAGGAGGAAGAGGGGTAATGTAAAACGCAGAACCAAGTTGGTCTTGCCTTATTGATAAGAAAAGGGTTCCAATCTACATTATGTTATACAAACCTCTATTTTATCTTAAACCTAAATTTGTAATAGAAAACTATTATGGTTATTAATAACCACTGGCCCAAATAATAATTCATTATAAATGATCTTTAGTTATCAATATTGATATATATTTTTTTCTGAAAAAGAAAAAAATGGTTTGGATTTTTAAAAATGTCAAGATTCAAAAAAAACCGTTAATATAAACCAGTTTCTTAATGTTAATTCAAACAATATATGTTGTTTACGTTCATAACAATCTTCGTTTCATTATAAATTATTTACTAAACCTAATAAAAACCAGTTAATATTCTTAAAAGATGGTATAACAGCTGCCACTATTTAATAAACTTATTAAAATATGCATGAAAAATAAATTAAATATTTTTCTTGAAAATTTTGAAGATTATCCAAATAAATAAAAAATGGAAAAATAAGTATTTGGTGAAGTTCCTGATGTTATTTTTGAGAAAAACGATGTTTAATAACTTCTATCAAAGAATCATCAATTTCTCAAATCTAAGTAATGTAATCAGCAAAATTTGAATTTATATTTGCTAAAGTTAAATTCATGTCTTAAGCACAACCCAATTGAATTATAAAAATTTGGTTCCATCGGAGTAGTTATTGTTATCAATCCACCCATGATCTTGATATAGTGATCGGGATTAATTTTTAATTTCGCTTCGTAAGTTGCTACGTATGCTGTCATTAGTAAAATTTGGATACATATCATTTCACAATCGCTTCACCGAACACCCCATCACACAGGGCGATGATTAATATTTAATGATTGTTTGATGATTAATAATTATTGTTCAATATTACTCCTTACACCGCGTGATAGGGTGCTCGGTGAAGTGATCGTCGATGAAATGAATGTATTTAAACAATAAAAAAAGCAGGGAACTAGTACGTATATTCACACCTTTGGCCACATGTACAGTACGCACAAAAAAGCTTATCATAAATTATGCAAAAAGTACGCGTACGTAGCTGAATTTGTACATATATCTAAACTTATTACATGTATGTACTATGTAATTTCTATGTAACTGTTTAGCAATAAATTTACATATTTAGAAATTTATGGTAAGTTTTTTCATGTAACTTTGATATATTTTCTGAGGGTACTGTACATATGGGCTGCCGTCAAGCATATTGTCATTTTTTAAAAAAATTA